CTGACAGGAGTGCAAGTTAAACCTCTGACAGGGCTGGTTAGCACAGTGTCTCTGCCTCACACACAGTCAGGCCACAGGCGGCAGACACACAGGTGTCCCTCTGAGACTCATTAACACTGCTGCGCCTCTCACGCTGACACCAGCACAGTGGCAGAAAGGCCACACACGACAAGGGGCTTCTCAGCTCGTCTTCCTCCACAAGCTGCTGACCCCCAGCTGGCCAGTCTTACTGCAGAGCGCTAGGAAGAGGGCAGCAGAGCAGTGAGAGAGCAAATACAAGGTTATGTAGGAGGCTAAAAAAACCCTGAAGAAGGAAACAGCAAACACCATTACTATCTTAACTGAGTTCACTATATTGCAGACTGAGAGGTTCACTGTGTCTTTTGTCTTGTTTCACATCCACAGAGCTCCGCATTTTAACACTGTGCGTTTGCAACATTTTTAAGCCCCAAATACATGATTATATCTAAGTGTGAAATATTTTTCACACTTGTAGCAACACGCAGTAGGCAAATATGTTTCTGTGCAAACGTTGCCACAGTGAGGCAGTCAGTACAGCCAGAGCTTCATCCACCCAGCTGTGCCACCTTCACACACACCTACACAGCAACTGCTCCTGGAGAAAAGTCTGCGGCTTCTCTGCCTCAGAAAAACACTCTCTCACACGTGTGCGCGCGCACACGCGCACACACACACACACACACACACACACAGCGCGAAGAATCAGGGCTTATCGAATGATCTCATTAAGTCTGCTGTGCCTGGGCGTCACAAACTGTCTTCCCCAGACAAATTAGTGCAGAGAAGCAGCTCGTTAGCTGCAGGTCGCCAGACAGTGGAGCCGGGGGCCAGTGGGCAGAGAGTATCGCAGTGCACTGCGGCGCACGCTTCCACGAGTAACCAGTATCGGAGATTTCTGTTCATTTGAACAGGGAGAAAAATGCCAGAAAAATAATCTGCATCTGCAGAAAAGGAAGGGGGTTCTGTAGATGTCCGCCTCCTCAGCTCCAATGCAGTTCTGTGGTATGGCCCCTCAGCTCTCTTCACGCCACCCCCGCACACAGCCTCTCGTGGACAGACGCAGAGCGGCGCAGCCCCGCTCCCCACAGCACGAGCACACAGACATCCGCACACCTGCGTGCTCCGGACACCACCACCACTCCCCCTTCATACACACAGAGATTCTGCTCAGCCTCCTCTGCTGCCTGGAGGCTTTCTTAAGGAGAGATGGGGATTTAATTCCACTTAATTAGTGCGCCGAAATGGTGCCTTTTTTTCTCATTTGCAAATTAGGCTTTCATGTCTCATGAGCAGTAGTCATATGGCGGGTAATGGAACCATTATTTAACTCTTGATCGTTATTCTATAACGTACAAGAAAGAGAAGAAAAAAAAAAGGGTCTGTCCTGGGCGTCCTCTTCAGTCCTGACACCTTCTCTAAGAGCTTGGCATTGTATCTGTGCTGCACACTGTCAAGCTGCTTAGTTAAAATAAAACACAGCACCTGTGCCTGTCAAAGAGATCCTAATACATGTACTTTAGCCATAAACTAAATAATGACCTGAAAAATAGTATTTTTTTAAGTAACAGATCACTTTCACTAAGTAACCAGTAAGCCCAGGGAGGCTGAGATCACTAGGGTTGAGCCCCATGTTTGCATCACTTTGGGGACATGAGGCATAACCAGTAGTGAGTGTGCTACTAGGGTAGACCAGGATGGCCAAAACTAACACCAGTCAGGAGACGGGCAAAGAAACGACACTGGCGTCCTCCACGCCTGCTCACAGAGACACAGAGGCTCACTGGAGTCAGCTCACAGCACATTCTGGTGTTGGCGTGACTGAGCTGCGAGGGAGTTCTAGTCTGCTAATTGACCATCTGTTCCCCAGCTGATAGAGTTCTCTCTGGTTTTGGTTTTCCTGTCTATAATATATAAAGTGTCGGGGGAAACTCTCACCAGTCTGATGGAGTTTCACTTCAAGAGAGTCTATTCCTAGTGGTGATCAGAGGGCTGGCTTCCCGTACCTGATTAAGCTCTGAGCAGAGACTGCAAGCGCGGCTCACATGGCGCTGAGCCAGGCCTGCGGATGTCACACAGCTTCAGAACCTTTGGAAACACTGGACCTCTCAGAAACAAAGGATGAATTCTACATGTCTTTGGTCATTATTTAACCTCAGACCTTTTGCGGTAAAACATGCACTCCTGAGAATCAAAAACGGAAATATAATACTCAGTGATGTAGTGCCAAAAAACATGTAGTGCTAAAAAACAATAAAACAGGTAATAAGGTTGACTGAAAGCAACCCCTAGGGCCAAGCACAACACTACCATCTACAGCCACAGTTTTATAAAAAAATCAAACACAAGACTTAGGATTGGTTATCATCAAAACCCACATTACATTAATTCACACAGTCCCATAAGTGGCAGGACCCAAATCACTAAAGAAGTGACCTACTTCTCCTGAAGACACACAGTAATCCAATCTTCCTAATTATCATTCCTTAATTGTTGCAGTTTAGGGCTCAATGGTATTGAATGTAGTTCAAGGCCAAAGTAAGAAAGCAAAAGGAGGAAACAGATGGGAGACAAGGCCGGAGCTATACTGATGAAGAGGCAGAATAAACACACAATAACCAGCAAGACACACTCAACACCCAATGCTGTCTATACACACAGACGCCAGTGGCTGGCAGAGCCCGGAACAGCTCAGACTGGTCTCGGGGAACTGGAGCACGCACAGTGCAGTCCTTCGCACCCAGGGGACAGCAGTGGCCGAAGTCTGCTAGTGCAGATTTGACTTGTGTCCTGTTCGGTGTGGTATTGCGTGACGCTGCTGCCTTGCTGGCTAATAACCTCCAGCAGACAGGTACTGGAAAGAGGAAAGAGCAGGGGAAGTGATCTCGTGAGGAGGAACACCAGCCTCCCCGGATACACACAGAGGGGAGTTTCATGGAAGTGCCAGAGTGCGTATCAGACTCCGTCACAACTTTCTGTTGGGGCATCTGCGGTGAGTCACGGCCACACTCAGTACTTTTACATTTGAATGACATTGCTTGACTCCTTTATTCAGGCAGCATGGTGGCGCAGGGCTCAGTGCTGCTGCTTCGCAGCACTGGGGCCTGGCTCACGTCCAGACCTGGAGTGCATGTTCTCCCTTTGTTCACATGGGTTTCATCCCGGGTGCCTTCCGCAGGACAAAAATGTACTGCTAAATGTATTGCCTTCTGGGAAAAAGGGCCCTGGTGTGAGCGAGTTTAGGTCTGTGTGTGTCCTGCAATGGACCGGCATCCCATCCAGGGTGCATCCTCGTGCCCACTGCTTGCTGGGATAGACTCTGGCTCCCCCAATGGAAGACTGGAAGAAGTAGTTAGAAAATGGATGGAAAGATGTATTTGACAATAAATCACAAAATACGTCTGCACAGCAGATAAGAGGAGCTTGACAAACAGTCATTTCTAAACACAACAAAACGCTAACACAAATCTTTTCTTTCAATGCAAAATGCACATCAGCGATTCCTCCGATTCTCAAACCAGCCTCGTCTGCTAAACCACCTGTGCGGGTGGAGCTGCCATCGTCTGTTCGGAGGCACCAGAGACATCAGCACATCCTACCATCTCCAGCTTTGTGGCGAAGAGCAGCTACATAGACACTCTCTTCTGTCTCACTAAATTAATAATCCAAAACATTGTTCTGATTCTAGACATTTAGTAAAAACGTTATCCTTAGTGGCTTACAGAGAACAGGGCAGGTGTCTCTAACTCCAGTCCTCTGGGTCAAGAGAATCCAACAGGTTTTCTATGTCTGACCCATCATTCTCCCTGACAATGCAAAATCGGAGACACATACTACAATCCTGTTCTTATCGAAACAGTACCTCCACTGCAAAACTACCTCATATCAGCTTTCGAGCTGTCTCCCTCCACAGCAAGCCATTCTTTAGTCAATAAGAAATCAATTAAAAGGGCCTAACCGCAGACATTGCAGCCCACATAGAGATTTCAGACACTCCCTTTTATTCAGTATTTAGGAACAGTGTAAATCCATCAATTGCTTTGTTTCTGGTCTGAAATCTCCTCTTCCGTCTGTGAACATTGACAGATATCCATTGTGGAAGCCCTGACATGGACAGTCAAATTCCCAGTGATTCCAGTGGAAAATTAAAATGTTTGACAATGAACCCTTTGTGCTGCCAACGAGGAGGAGTACCACTCAACTGAACATGATCCCTCCGTTACTGTGCACTAAGGCCTGTGCAACTGCAAACCTATTCCCCCACCTCATCTCCTGCAGTGCAGCTTCTGTCAAGCCTTTCCAGAGGTGGGATACACATCAAGAAAAGAATGAAAAAGCAGAGGGAGGAAGTGAATGGGAAGCAGCTTTAAGCCAGCAGCAGCGACGTCATTAATGACTCTTCCAGCACTGGGTGTTGAGTGTGTGTGTGAGTGTTGATGAAACTGACAGTCTTAGCTACACTGCACATGTCTCACATGCACACACTTGAACTGAATAATTTCCGTGCCAAATAGCCCTATGGAAGGAGCCTTCTCTGAATCAGCTGAACTCCCATTAGTACCATAATAACAAGTCCTGACAATCTGATTACAGTGGATTCCCTACATTAA